AAGCCATTAGTACTACTTTAATCGTAATATATTCTCTGACTTGATTTTTTCATTCACAATGATTTATTATAAAAGAAAAATTGTTTATTCTATAGCTCTCCTATTGATCTTAGGAACTTAGTTACATTATACGTGTCTTCCTACTTCAATTTCTTTTTTTCAATGATGGGACATGTGTGTATCGCTAAAGTGCTATCACTAAGTATCATGTACAACTAATCCGATCTTGGTCGATACAGAAGCTTGTATTCCCTTCTCCTTTTTCACATCTGTATGCAAGAGTTACTGCTATATGATTTGATTTCTCTTCTGTCGATCCTACCCTTCCTAGTATAGTTGCCTGTCTGAGCTGCCTAGAAACTCAACTTCCTGTTGGTGAATAAAGCCTGGCCATTCTCTTCTCCATTTTGTAACATTTTTTTCATATGCCTGGTTCTCGGTCACTGCGTCATATTCCTGTCCATTTTAAGATATTTCCTCAACGTATTCCTCTTTTTTGTATCCTCTCATTGCTTGGACCTAGTCATACGCACTCATCAGCCCATTTAAAGCCAATGCTCATATGCGTATTTAGTTCCGTGTGTATCTTTGTGTATGTGCTCATGTGCAATGCCTATTTGTGCGTGAAAATTTGTATCTTTCGTGTTTCTTTAATTTATGATCCTAGCACACACATTGCTTTTAATCTTTCCGGCTATGAAAATTCAACTTCTCCTGCGCTGATTAAATTCATCCTCTGACCGTCTAATTCTGCGTTTTTCTCTTCACTTAAACACCTTTGTGTCCCCCAAATTGCGTTTATTGCTTTTACTTCTTCGTCGCCAGCCTATTCATTCTCCGTTTCATCTAAATTAGAGCAACATTTGGACTTGGTCCAATCATCTTAGCTGTTTGTGACATTGGAAGGCTTACCCACAATCATACTTACGCCTCATCTTTATTTTTACTGGTCCATACTGCTGAACCGTCAGTTTGGGTCGAAGCGGTGGAAGTAAAAAAAGTTAGAGACGAGGAAGTTGTTACCTTATTTCATTTCTCAGGATTTTTCTTCAACTTCTTATTCTAGCCCTCAGGAGTTAGATTTCACTTATTTTTGGATACAATTGACAGAACGGAATGAGCTACGTTCAATTAATCAAATACGGATGGAAATTGAATATTTTCCTTCTTTTTTCTATATTTCTTTAATGATTTTGGAATGTTGTTTGACAAAATTTTGGATGTCTGGCTTACTGGCTTGAGCTTGTAAGTCATTTTTGTGTTTCGTGTTTCACACATTTTTATCTGCCGGCCTCGATTTACTTCATTCTCATCCACATAATTCATTTTCCTTATTATTCTGTTTTCTTTTATCATGTCGCTTTCCGACTGGAATATTCCTCCTGACCGAAGTATTCTTTTACCCCGAAATCCAATTATGGGAAAGTTTGTTAGTCCATCAGGTCCTCTTTTGTCCCCTTCCACTGGGGCCAACGCACTTAGTAATCGCTGTGATAATATTACTGGTGTAGGTAGTATTGCTGGTTCTGGTAATGGTGGTGGTGGCATTGAAATACTCCATGGCAGAGTCTACAGTGCGCAGACGGGCGGTGTGCGCCCACAGCACAATGATTTCTCTTTAGTGACGTCTCCTCATGCTGCAGTAGCTTTTGCCGGAAATCATTGCATCTTAGGTGAGTTGGACAAGTTTTTGTGATCTCATCCACACTTACATCTATATGATCTAGCTTTATTTGTTGTGTCTTATTATCAATGCAAACTCTTGAGGGGTATATTTATCCTATTTGCATTTATACTATTTTTACTCATAGGATTTACATTTTCACGTTTTGAAAAAGTTTTGAAGCATAAGCTATGTTTCCATGGTAAATAGCTAGTTTCAGTAAGGGGCCTTGATCTTTCAACTGGCTTGCTGCATATCTTTCTTCTTTGAGGCTTTTGCAACCTTTTAGTCTTGGAATTAAAAGGACGAATTTTCTGTATCAATGGTAGAATATCTGATGCTTTAGAATGTTTATATTCATTCATAATTTCGATTAGATAGCCTTTATTGTTACCATTTATACTCTTATGATATCGCAATTACTATATATTTATATATGGATGAATTCTGATTGTTATTTAAAGATATAATTTTAATTCTTGAGCTCTTAAGTATCTTATCCTTACCTGACGAAACACTAATTCGTATAAATTGTCAGCCATTGATTGAAGC